AATATATCTTAATAAAATAGTGTTAGGGTGCTGAGAGAGAGTAGGTTCCAAACTCTCATTCTCAGACCCTCATTGCCGAACTCTCAAGCTCTCCTTTCTTCAGTTTTCTTCAGAAACCTGTACAAGTTTTATCCAAACTCTCAAGCTCTCCTCTCTTCAGTTTTCTTCAGAAACCTGTACAAGTTTTATATAGGTTTCCCAACCTTTTCTTTCAAACCAAACACAGCATAAAGGAAAGTTTTCAAATGAAAAAAAAGAAAATTAATCAGTTAACTCAAAACATGCATATAAGGGTTCAATGGACCAAGAGGAGTGCTAACTCTATGGCAGACACTTGGCTAAACAGGGGGTGGGAAGGGCAAATTTCTTTTGGGCTCTTTTGTAATCTGTTTTTTCAGTTTTAACAGGGAGGGTTAAGACTTTTTACCCCTCCATTCTGGTTGTAATTTTCCATCTTATTTCTTAATAAAAGTTACTGTTATTGATAAAAAAAAATAAAGGAAAGTTTTCAGTTGTTTACTTCTTCCTTATTCTTGATTAAATTGATTTGATTCTTTCCATGTAATAGACATAGATATAGCAAATAGAATGTACACTATCATGGGATAATGTCACACCTACTGTACATTCTTCAATCACCTAGAAGGGTAATAAATTGATATGTTAATTATATACCATCTATTAGGGATTTACTACTCAAATCCTGCTTTCTTTTCACTCTGGAAGACCATATTATTTGTTAAAACTTTACTCGTATGCCATCCGGTCTTTGCTTGAAGCTTCAACATATGTCCTTAGTAGTTCCCCTTTGCCTCTGAGAACCATCAACTGGGACCAAATAAGTTTTTTTAAGCACTAGTGCAGTCCTGGATCATCAATGACTATGACTAGTCTTTGTTAGTCAACTTTCCTCCTCCGTTCACTTATCGAAGTTACCCACCCTTTGGTTGCAAATATATCAATATTGACATGTCATTTTTGAGGTACAACAATCAACCAAAAACAATTTTAATAAATGAAAGTGGCTAATGTACCTTTGAACATTATTTATAATAGTTTTTTGAGAATGTTCTCTAGCAAATGACATGATCCTTCATTATAGAGATTTTGTTGCATCCACCCCCATTAACCGATACATGGGGAAATTAGAGATCTCGATCTCTGTGGTTTGAGAGCTTTTTCTTGCTGGAATGGATGAAAAGGTGTAAATTCAAACATGTACAGAAAGTAACCTATTAGAGGTTATAGGGATTTGGAGATCCAGAAGTTTCAGTAAAATCCGTTATCAATAGCTGTTTTTCCAAAAAGTCTTTCTGGGACAAGCCACATTGGTGGTTTCAACATAAAGGCCTCCTTGGAACTTGGGTCTGGGAGTACTGAGCAAGACCTATGGTTAAGTTTCACCATAGCAGATGAAAACCCCTGTCAGAAAAAAAAAGGTAAAAGAAACATCAATTTTGAAGTTCACAAGCTACATTAGATAATTGGAATACTACTTTTATCCTCTACTTCTCTTTTACATTCTAACTGTCATTCCTTTTGAAATATAGGCAACAATTCTAGAAATTTGAAATGTATGTAATGTTAAAATAATTGGCTAATGTAAAACTACTAAAGGAGTAATTATAAATGCAAAGGTCTACAAATATATAAAATGTAATTTTTGTTCAGTAATTTCTAAACAAGTTAAAAGTGCAGGTTCAGATTCCCTGATAGAGTCTTGATCTTCAATCTGATGTAGAAATATGTTAAAGATGGAGTGCCCTCGATGTGTTAACACTATCTAAATTCATCTAAAATTTTCATTTTATTCTTTTGCAGACAGAAAGAAGTGTGGATATGTTGCTTCATGGTAAAAGGCCACTGGTTGAGGTAATTGCACTGGTCGTCAGTTTGTCTTTTCAGTGTTTTAAACAGTTTTGTGTTAGCAGCCTTGTTGATTTACCATGCATTTTGATTGAAGGTAGATTCCATTTGTCTTCAATATTTTTTCCAACCATGTCCATGTTCCGTCTTTGAGACCTTTTTGCTATATAAATAATTGGGTTAGAAACCAATACCTGCTATATATTTCTAATCAAAGGGGTCTATGATTTAACTATTTTTAAAGTGTCTTCAGGTCTTTAGTTCTTTGGTCTCTCATATGTAGGGATGCTCATGGTTCGGTTTTGTGAACCGAACCGACCTGATCGGTTTTTTGAGTATTCGAACCGAAACCGAACCGATGCAACCGGTTAACCACAGTTTGGTTTTTTGGTTTTTTATGCACTCAAAATTAAAAAAAAAGAGAGGTCGGTGGTCGATTTGGGATTTTTTCCCATTGGGTAAGAAGAAAGATGAGAGATGAGAAACTGAACTCGGAGGCCGTTGGTCGGAGCCCGGAGGTCGTCGGTCGGAGACTCAGAGGCCGTCGGTTGATCTGGGGAAGAAGAAAATCAGAGAGATGAGAGGTGGAGATCTGAGAGTGAGAGAGAAAGGGAAAGGTTGACTCGAAGAGAGGAAGAATGGAAGATTAGAAAAGGTGAAAACAACAGAAAGTCAGATTTAAAAGAGAAAAAACAAAGAGAAGCGAGAATGCCGAAAAGCCTATTCGATTTTCAAAAATATAAAAATAAAATATATATTTAATATACATATACTGGTCAGTTCGGTTAACCGCCGGTTTTTTTTAAAGGTTAACCGAAACCGAACCAAAATTGTCGATTTTTTAAGAATATCAAACCGAAACCAAACTGACCAGTTCGGTTAACCGAGTTTTCGGTTCGGTTTCGGTCGGTTTGGTTTTTCGGTTTATTTTGCTCACCCCTACTCATATACCATTTATGTATATCAGCTAAAACAAAAGCAGTCAAAAGAAAAGGTCTAGACAAGAACTTCTCATGTAATTAAAAGAAATAAGAGAATAAATTATAGACAACTATAGTTGGACCAATACAAAATTGGAAGAAAAGTAAAAGTTAATATTTCCAATAATATTGATTCAATAAATGTATTAAACATACCAATACTTATAAGTTCAACTTTGGGTGGTTAACTAGTTGACAAATAATAGGACTTATGAAAAAACAAATTGTAGAGGTTTTTCTTATCCTAAACTTTACTCCCGGTGGAGGGGTGCCACCAAAATCTTAATTAATCTGCACCTGGATTGTGGACTTTGGGTGGGGACATTTGTTTACTAGTTAAGGTGAAAAGATGGGCCACAAGCAGGAAAGGATTCGCAGAGAAGATAGGGGCTTTTGGGTGAGACAAATAAGGCTCAAGACTGATTCCAGCAATAATGAACAGACTAAACTGGTAATAATAGCGCTGCCATGTTCCAAAATGCTTTCCTAGGAAAGCATTGCTACCATAACATTTGTCCCGGCAGTGATGCTTGGACTTTAAACTGTACTATGAATGAAATTTGATGGAGATCCAACATTTGGGTTTCAAATGGAACACTGGTTAGGCATGCTTGAGTTTCATGATGATTAGAAGTCCCAGGTATTTTCTTGGCAGTAGTTCCTTTTTCCTCAAGGATTTAGTGCTGAATATTCTTTGTTTTTGAATTTGATGCTATTTACTCTTGAATAAAAAAAGTAATTTCTATTGCACATGAATTTCTAAGTATCCTCTCCATTTTTCTTTTGTATTTATCTTTATTACTCTGCAGTGTATACAATCACAGTATTAAAATTTATTTTCCAATATGCTTAGTCAAGTAAACCTAACTACTTGATGCAATTACCATTCAAGTTTAAATTTGTAAAATGCAGTGCTGAAACTTGGATGGGACCAACTTGAACCCCAACCTATTTATTTAACCTTGAGCTTTCCAAGGGTCGAGCTGGTATTATTTTTGCTGCAAGTTGGCCCTAAACCTGAAAGTTCATTACTGATACTAGGTTAAGTTGGGATTGGGTAGCCTAGTCCAACCCAAGCTTGGTCCAACCCTTATCTGCTTGGTGTTAGAAAAGGTCTACTGTTTATGTATTTGTAATTCATGTGGAATGTCCAAACACAAACCTGTTGTGACGCAACACATCTGGCCCAGGTTGTGTCCACTCCAGGTTGGGATGGTCTTAGGCTTTTCCATGGTTTCCTAATTGGGTTGTTTAAGAAATAAGCTGTGATCAGACCTAGAATAAGGTCTTAAAAACCTGGTAAACAACCAGAAATCAACCTGGACTAATGCAGAAATAAAGGAGAATAAGAGAAGAAGATGAGAGGAATAGAGTAGAAACCAAGGCTGAAGAGCAGAAGAGATCATACAAACTGATCACAACTACCGCCCTCTTTTATTAGTTTACAATAGAATGTTAAAATTATAACTTTGACCCTGTTTAAGTAGTAAAACAAAAAAGAAAGAAAAATTCCAATATAACCCTACCGACTAAATACACAAGAATAAAGTTTCTAAAAAAGCCTAGTCAAAGTACGTGGGTTACATATGTCCATCCTTCACTAGTTTAATGGAGAAAATTTCAGCGTGGAAATATTACCATGTGTTTTGGGGCATTTTTGTTGTTAACAAGATTTAGGGTGTAACCACATATAACAGCTATTAATTATGTTATACTCAGGTTCCAGCTTTGGCTAGAATTATAATCAATTTTGCTCTTTGCAGGTTAGGAAGAGGGATGATCAATTCAAGGTTGTAATTGAAAGATGGAAGGCATATGATGGGGACGGAATTTAATGTATTTCTAAGAGGGGCTCCGAAGTGGTTAATATCCTCTGGGCTCAAAGCTTGTATACTCCTTGAACAAAAGTAAAAGCAAGAAGAAAATGGAGAGAATTCCAGTATACTCTACATCCGAAAAGGTTACAAAAGCAGTGTTTATATACAAGAATAATCCCTAACTAACTAACAAACTTGACAGAAAAGAAAACTAAAGGAATATTGCCAGCTCAGCTAGTAAAGGATAAAAGAGAATAAAGATAATAACTCTACACTCCTATGGGGTCCTTGGCGTCCATATTATTGATAATTTATTATGTACAAATTGCTACATGAAATGTTTTTCCATCTATCATGATGCCTTTGAAGCTTGCAGGCAAGGTTCAAAATCTTGATACAATATCGGGCATATTGCATTATATGACAAATACCTGACACAAGAAATACAAACTTACAAAGCTTTTGGGGTTTTGTCTATTTTCATGGGGTAGGCAGATCCAAGACTGAACACCCGATCAGTGTTAAAAAAAAAAAAATTTAAAAAGTTTTGTAGCTTGGAAACACCCAATATGCATGTCCATGTGTATCGGGTGTATTGATACTCTGAACCTTGCTTATAGGCTTCCATGGATTCCATAGGTTAGTGGCTATTTTGTCATGTATTTTTCCATGTACATCTTTATTTGTATATTTATTTTAAAATATGTTGATTATGAAAAAAACATGCTATGCAGCTGCCGCTTATGTAATTTACTTCAGTATCTTATTTGTGTAAACTCCTAAACCAATATTCAGTAATTTCTATTAAAACTTCAGCTTGATCAGGCCCTATTAATCAATAAAATGAAAATATGGAGACTATGAAGACGAAATGGTTAGAACAGAGTGTTGGAACTTGGAAGAAAGATTGTAGGAAATAATTATTTTTGTTTCTGTAGTTACAACAAAATTAAAAAAAAAAAAATCTTTACATAAATTGTTGATGAATCAATGGATGATATATCATTCATAGATCCATCCTATGGTTCTCCTATACCATCAAAATCATTTAAAATATATTTCCTTATAAATTTTGGATTTCTAATTTCTTTATTTTTTGGGGAAAATCCGTAGATCTACTAATACAAGCAAAAACATTAAGATCCAACAATAATTGAATATATCCTTGCATATTTTTTGTAGTCAATATATCCTTACATTTCAAACACTGAATTATGTAGATTTGTTGAATATTGAAGGATTAAATCAAGAAAAGGCAGTCTTTTTCCTTAATTATTGCTCACCCACTACTATGAATGAAAAGGGTAGAAATCTTAAACCTCGTTTGAGTTTTTTCTCCTAAATACTAAACATCCTCTCTCTTTTTAAATTGGACTAAGACTTCCCCCTGCAATTATTATCTCTAATTAGCAAGGACCAGAGCAATGCAAAGGATTTGTCAAGAGAAAATGAAAGGACAGAAACTGATAAGTATTATAAGGAATGCAATGTTGTTTAAAATAATTAATCATTATTTTAGTAATTTATTACAAAAACAAGTTAATAATTTGGATTAATTATATTAATAATTTTTAACAAAAAATAAATTATTAATTACTTAAAAATAATTATTTTTCCATATTATCTATTAGTGTTCTATTTTACTTATTTTACTTTATTAATGATTAAATGTTACATTTTTTTGTAAATATTACTTAAATATTAGTAAATTTTTAAAATTAGTTTGTAATCATGATTAAATTAATCTATAAATTAATTGTTTAGTCATAATTAACTTAATCTAAGACTTTGGGTTTGGCTTGGGTTGATCCTCAACCTGACCCAACCCATCCAAGTTGCACCCCTAAGAGCAATGTGATATTTGTAATTGGACTAAAACAAATCGAGTATGACTCATGCATGCATTATTTTTGGATGTTTAACTATTTTTAGATAATATTAAAGTTGAAGAAGCTATGGGGGATGGGCTACCCCCATTTGTGTAGCCCAATGAACCAAAAATAAATAAATAAAAGATCTTAAGCCAGATTTTGGTAGTGTATTAACAATTTTTAAGGTTGTTTGGCCCAGTTTGGCCCACACCTCAAGCGTAATAATGTTTGTCTAGGCCTATGACAAGGACGGGCTTTCTTGTGTTAATTATACAATTATAATTTTTTTACAAATTAAAATTTTTATTTAATTTTAGTCTATTATAAAAATTTATAAAATTTTCTATATATATATTAATATAAATTTTATTATCTAAATATTATATAATAGTATTTACCATATATGTATATAACTTAGAGGTTATTTTAGGGGTTGCTTAGCTTGTGGCCTTCCACTAGGGCTATCATTGGACTCCAAACGTTTGATATGCAATTAGACTCTAAATTCAATAATCCAAATTTGGATGTTAGAACTAGCATCCGATTAATAATTGGGTTGGATGCAAATTTAATCCATATATACTTTGTATATATTTTATATTCATATACATTTGTTATACATATATACTTTAAAAGTAGGAGAATTAACCTATTCTTTGCTTTATTGCCTAAACTAACCTAATTAAAAATAATTAGTTTCTTAACTATTTTAATTTTTTTGGTCATTTCAAACACAATAGTGTTTAGGGATGTCATAATCGGATGCATATGCAGATACAAATATAGCTGGATCCAATCTAAATCTAATCCGTTTAAAGCCCTACTACATGCATTGTGTGTGGCTTAGTGCAAATTCGAGTTAGACTTAGCTTAGAAGAAAATAATTATTTGAGCTTGCAAATTTTTAGGTCTAGCCGTATTGGGATAAGTTTAAATGGTCATCCCTAAGTAGGAGTCTTATGATATTTCTAGTTAGGCTATTATTAATTTTTAATTATCATATAAATATTAATTATTTTTAAATAGAATTCAATTGTATTTTAATTTTTAATGTATAAACTACTAATTTTTGTTAATTTATTAATTTTTAATAGTTGCTAGATAAAACTTTCTCTGTCTAATTATTTCTATCAACTTTAGTAGTTTTTTATTAAGTTAAGTTATTAGGTTTCAAGTTATTATTTTATGACAATTAACCAATTAAAAAGAATTTGAGTATGAAATAAAAATTTGGATGAGAGTACAATTCTCTCTTTGGAATACAATAGACTAATAATGGAAGAGGCCTAAAGAAATATACTAAAATAGGTTAATGATGAAAGGAGTGGGAACTATGTCTTAGAATTCTCTCTCTCTCTCATTAAAAATTTGTGGGCCTGATGGGGCCAAGGCCCGAGCTAGACAAAAATGATTATCCTTAAGCAAATTGCTTTTGGTTTATTTGATTAATGAAGAGAGGAAAGAATATAAAATAAAAAGGAAAAAAAAAGCAGAATTTAATGAAGTAATTGAGAGGAGAGAGAATTAGTGGAATGAGTTATTGGAGGAGAGAGAGTTAATGGAATGATTAATGAGGAGAGAAAATTAAAGGAGTTAATAAGAAAGAGAAGATGGAGTTAATGAGGAGAAACAAAGTCTTAAAGACTTAACGTTGATTGGTTGAGTTATTTTGTTCAATTTTAAAATAAAAATTTAAAAAAGACCACAAAATAGATCAATGGTAGGGAGGAAAGAGATGCATGATATGTATGTATGTATGTATGTATGTACATGTATGTATGTATATGGAGGAGTGAACAAGACTAATATGCCTTAAATCTCATATTAAATATATGGATTTATAATCAAATTAAAAAAAAAAATACATCTCATTTTAAATTGGACTAAGACTTCCCCTACAAGTCTTATCTCTGATGGAGTGAAAAAGACTAATATGTCCTTAAGGCTAAATTTCGGATTATATGGTTTCTACTCAAATTACACAAAAAAACTTGTCTAAATCGCCTTCAACCTTTGAATGTAGGAACCTCGGTAGTTCACCTCATCACTCAAACTAAGTGCTTCCAATGGTGCTCTAGTCACCTCTTACCATTACAAGTTGTGTTTTCGTTCACTCTCAAAACTAAAACTTGTTATCAGGAAATTACAAAATAATATTAATCATTATTGAATAATAGCCTTCATAAGCATTAATCATCTCTATAGCCAGTGCGCCATTTGTGGGTGATGAGGGGTGATTCGGCCCTCTAGTGACAATACGACACGTGACTCCACAAACTTGGCGGACGATAACTCAACTCCATGTAAGCAGATTCCGGGAGCACGACAGACACCTCGCATTCACTGTAGACTCCTGGCCCCACCTCGGCAAGTCGGACTACAGATAGACTAGCTAATGTCAAGTCAGCATAATAGGCAACTTGCCTCTGCTGACCTAGTAGACCCTTGGCCCTACCTCGATAGGTTGGATTGCAGATAGACTAGCTGATGTCAAGTCGGCGTAAGAGCGACCTGCCTCTACCAACCTAGTAGAGATTTAGCTAGCAGCCTACGTGACATGACGAGTGACCTCCTTGAACGAGTTGTTGCCTTCGATTTCCCCGTGATCAAATTTCCATGTTGACGGAGCTAACTACCGCCTCGCCCGTTTCAGGCGCAACCGAATAAGCACTAACCGCTTACGCAGAGCCCATCTCTGAGTGTGAAACCACCTCCGAACCAGATGGGCCAGAGATCCCGGACGCATTTCATGGAGCTCATGACTATTAGCCTACATAAAGGTGTCCCCTTCATCAAAAAAGGTATGTGCGAATTAGCACTAACAACTCTCTTGCTCTTAAGCTTTTTGATTTTCACAACTCATCACTAACTTAAGCATCAAAATGCCCACCCTGGGAAAAACAACCCAAATACTCTGATCTCTTCTTTGCAACTCAACTAACCTACTCAATTCGGTGTCCGAGCTACTTGCCAGCAGGGAGCACCAGGTCGCGTATAATCAATTGGCGTCGTTTGTGGGAACTTGCTACGCAAAAGCCCAGTTCTCACGTCTCTAGAGTCCTAAACTCAATGGCATCTTCAAGCAATAACCCCGTCAACAACGCATGTGTTGACAGCGTAGTCACAAGGGGTGGGACTAGCCTACGATGCACACTGAGGTCCCCTCTTTTACTATCAGGCAATTCACCATGCCCTTGACCTTATTTGGCATCCCCGCTGCACAGAACATAAATGTTCCTCTGCCCACCGTAAACATGACTCTCCTGGTGGT